TTTAGCGGCAAAGCCACTCGGTTCAGAGGGCCCCGGGTCGTCATAACTGTTTATCCTACGGTGCCATTTAGTGGCAGACCGCCGGTAAGAGGACACGTACCACATCCTTACTGGCAGGAGATTGGTTTGAGAATGGATCCTAGTGATATTTTCGACTAGGCATTTGGCTCTTTGTGAGCTGAAGTAAATTTTGATTTGTCCACTCCGGCAAACCATTGCGGAGGGTGGATGAATTTTGCTTTGAGTGGTTGATGATTTGATTTCAATTTTAAATATCTTGAAATTTGGAGTTTGTAGAGTTTGGATTCTGATAGACACTTGAGTGGAATTTGAAATATTTGTGAACCCCTCCGGTTGAGATCTTTATTCAACATGGCCATCATCGGGGTGTTTGGGGTTATTTCCATTTGATTGAACCTTGTCGACCCTATCAACTTAACGATAGGGGATCGGGTTTCTTGTAGGCTTTGTGCCTTTGATCAGTGAATTCTCTTGATTGTAGGCCTTAAAGGCCTAATATGAATGTATTAAATAAATAAAACGATCGCCACAACCGTGTATTTGTTTAAAGGTTCAAACCCTGTCAACTCCTATAGATCTGTATAGAATGATCGGGTTTGAACTTGAATTCACTTATCGACCCGCGCAGCATCCCTAGACATCACATGTGTACCAATAACATGCTCGTCGGGGCCCATGCGGGTCAAAATTATATTTTCCCCTTTAGTGTACCTATGTGCATATAATTTATAGTGCGCGTGCAGAGATACTTTGAAATATTTGTAGTTGTGCGTATAACTGTCATTTGGATGCACACAACATTTCATTTAAGAGCTTATACACGCCTTATGTCCGCTAGTACGAGTGTTGCGTATCCGATGGCGTTGCATTGTAGATTGTAGACGCCTTTTGTCTGCTTTCATAGATGTTGCAGATCCGGTGGCGTTGCATTGTAGATTGTAGATGCCTTCTGTCTGCTTTCATAGATGTTGCAGATCCGGTGGCATGACATTGTAGATTGTGGACGCCTTCTGTCTGCTTTCATAGATATTGCAGATCCGGTGGCATGCATCTTGGTGTTGATTCCCCCTTTCTCATTCACCGGGGACGGGACTTTCTGGACTTTGGAGTCCGTTGCTTTGAAGAGAACTCCCTTTGAGGTCGTCAGTGTAGTGGACTTGTTATTTTCGGTGTTTGTGGGCACCATAACTATTTTCTTCTTAAATATAGGACTAAGAAGAGGCTTGGGAACACCAGGAAGTTTGGTTCTAATTTGTTCAAATTTCCTTTTTGATTCTGCCAGGGAGTGTCCTCTTTTTCGTACATCGGGTTGCCCTTGTACTCGACGTACTTGTAAATCTTGATCACCAATGTCGTAGGTGATATCATACTTATGCCCACAGTGGTTCGTTGTACCTACGATATATTTACTGTTATTATCCACAAGTAGTTTGTACATATTTACGGGGACCCGTTGTATTTTCTACGACCTCCTGAATGTATTTGTAGAAGACACATTGTTCTTGTATCATACCCACCCTTTCACCAATCACATGTGGTCTATGATTTCATTTGCTGCAAGGACCGATTTTTTATTGCTCGTATGCTTTGCAACTATCTGTTGTTGCTTGCAAGCATATTATTTTGACCTTGTAGGGATTGTTGTAGGAGTTCGTGCATCAAGGTCTTGTAGTTTAAGTTTCCCGTGTGTGATCCAAATTTTGATCTTTGCATGTGTTTGGATCCAAATTCAGTTTCATTCAGACTTGAATTCATCAAGTTTACAAGTCCCCACTTGATGTCGTATAGCCCCAGTTCAAATACAAGCTCAAAGTACATGTTCAAATTGATTGTCCAGGGTCCTCTGAAGTTCTTTGCAAGTTCATTTTCTTGTTCAAATGATTTGATTTTGGTTCCAGTTTGGTTTCATTTTATTTGAATTTGACCTTTAAAAATCATTTAGAACTTTGTTCAGATTTAGGTCCACAAGTCCATTGTTCATCGTACAGGTCTTCTATATTGTTGCCCAAGAAGGTCTTCAAATTGTTCAAGTCTTTATATATTTCAGTGAAAATTTCGGCAGCACCCCGGCATATCCCCCATTTGGGGGAAAATAGGAGAGCTGGGCCTTCCCACCACGCTACTAGAGCGTGTATGGTAGGTGTCCTTAGACACCGCGGCCGTAGTAATTTTCATCCCACCACACTACAAGAGCGTGTATAAGGCCTTCAGCAGTACCCGTACCAGAACAGCAGTGACTCCCCACCATGCTACAAGAGCGTGTATGGGGCCTTCAGCAATACCCGTACCAGAACAGCAGTGACTCCCCACCATGCTACAAGAGCGTGTATAGGGCTTACCCACCTCGTCGTATGCGTCGCATCGGGCTCCCTCCTACCGTGCTACAAGAGCGCGTATAGGTGGTTCCCAGGTCCGCTGCAAACATCGAGAATGGGATTTTGGAACATCATACCTTTCGTAGCAGTCGTCAGCGGTGTCGGTGTCGAGGTCGAGGACCGTCCCCACCACGCTACATTTTTATTTTAATTAAAATTAATTTTTTTGTTAACTATAATCATTTTAATTAATTATCATTATTATAATTAATTATAATTAATTATAATAATGATAATTAATTAAAATGATTATAGTTAACAAAAAAATTAATTTTAATTAAAATAAAAATTATTACTAATCCCTCGGCTCGGCGGGATTACGGGATTTGGCCGAATGGAGTGCACAAAAGGGAGGGGATCACCTTCACTTCCAGCGAGCTCTTGTTGTTGCTTCCGTCAAAATGTTGCAGCTTCCGATCCGAGAGGAAGGAAGTCGTCCAAGGGAGCAAAGTCGAAACAGCCACGAGCGGAGCCAAAGAAGCACGCGAAATGGAGAAAGTTGCTTCACGACCAGCGAGCTCTTGTTGGCCTTCCGATCAAAATGTTGAACTTCCGGTCCGACTGGAAGGGAAAGTCGGCGAAGGGGCTAAGTCGAACAGCCCTGAAGGAGCTGAAGAAGCCGTAGAAAGGGATTAAGTTGCCTCTGCAGCAAGCGAGCTCCCGCCCGTTGCTTCCGATCAAAATGCAGTAACTTCCGATCCTTCAGGAAAGGGAAGTCGTCGAAGAAACGAAGCCGCACAGCAACGAAGGAGTCAGGGGAGGAGCGTGCGAAAGGTAGATAGTTATCTTCACAGCCGGTGAGCCCCCGTTCAGGCTTCCGATTAAAATGTGTAACCTCCGATCCGATAGCGAGGGAAAGTCGTCGAGAGAAGCAAAGTCGAACATCCACGAAGGAGCAGAACAGGAGAAAGTTATCTTCTCAGCGATCGAGCTCTGATCGTTGCTTCCTATCAAATGTCGTAGCTTCCGATCCGACCGCCAGGGAACGTCGTCGAAGGAGCTTCGTCGAACAGCCACTGAGGAGTCCGGAGAGGGAGAGAGTGAAAGCGAGAGTGATCGTGAGAGGCCGAAAGCCTCTCCTTTCCGTTTCTTTAACGACGCTCCAATGAGGTCGTGGGGAGGACGTGCGAGACGCGACATCGGTCGTGCGCGACGTGCGGATTTCGGCGCTGAACGGGTACGTTTAATTCTTTTTTTTTAGTGTGTAGGTCAACAAAGACGAGCCACGAGCCCGGACACTTTCTGTGACTGGTGGTTGTTGCTTTGTCCTCACCTTGGGACTTCACCACTCAAGAACTCACAAGCTCAAAAGGAGGAAATCAGAATTTTTTTTATCAATCAATCATTAACTCTAATACAAGACTAAGGGCCTCATATATAGGCCTCAAAGAGAGAAGAAAAGAAAAGACTGAAATGCCCTCAGGGTTACAACTCAAAACAATAAACAAGCAAGGGTACAATTGTCAAACTTGAAATAAAATAAACTAATACATGAAATATATCAAAAATAAAGGCTCATAATCGTAGCCATCAATTTACGATGCTTCCGGTGATAGAAGTTCCGGAATCCCCTGTTGATGTCCTCATCACCTTCATTCCAAAAATGTGGTTAAGGTGACGGAGGCTTTGAACTATGCTAGCCTTCTCATTTAAGTCCTCAACTAGTAAGCATATAGTAGAGTGCCATTATAAGTTCCAGAACCCTCTCAGACTTATATTTGTGTTGGAAGAGCTCACATAAAATTTCTAAGAAAAAGTGGCTCTACTTTGAACTCATTTTGGAGAAGATTTAACAAATACCTCAATCACAAGAGGTCCCTCAGGTGAAGAGGTTCCCTAGCAACCCCTTTATATGATAATGTTACTAAGTTTAGTGCCGAAGTGTTCTCTAGTGGTGAAAACTCTCGAGGCAAGCTTATGCCATTTCTCGGTTGACTGAGAGCCTTGGTAAATAGGCATATGAAACATATATGACATGCACCAATTTCCACAATTTTTGTTATTTCTAAAAGCTAATTGCATATGTTTAACTACATCTAAGGCTTCATTAAATGGGTTGCTGTTGTCAGTAAAATTGGCTAAGAAAACAACTTTTCCCACCCAAACAACACCCATTGTTTTAATCATGCCATAAAATAAGGAAAAAAGCCAAACAATGGATCCTAAATGTCTAGGCCATGAAGATTTTTATGTTACCATCAGAAACCCGAAAAATAAATTAAGATCCGATCTGGTAAACTTCATAGCTAATGTTTGCTGTGGTTTTTGAAAAGTCCGCCTAGCCTAAAAATCAGACAAGTAAAAGATCTAGAATAATTCACAACATCAAGTCAACTAGATGACAAGCAACGAAGAACAATATCGCAAAAAATGCAAAGACTCGTTTCTATTTCTCTCATAAACAAAACTGTCATAGACACTCTTAAGGCTTTCTCTGGCTTGAAGGAATCGGGGAATGTAAAAACATTTTAATTCATAACAATATATGTATTGGGTGTTTAGCTCATATTCAATTAAATGAAAATGGGATTTGCCAAAAAATATGCAAACAAATACAAGTTTTCATTTACAATTCCCTATCCAGTATCTAACCATAGCGAAAAATAAAAAGAATAACTTTTCAAGTCATATTCTGGAACATGCCCCCTATGAGAAACAAAGAGTCACTTTCTACTCAATCCAACATAAATGGACAAACTCCTCGAAACAAATTTTAATTCAATTCCTTCATCATTTTAATTTCCTTACAATTCCTTTAAGCCGTACAAAAACTAAGAAATTTAGTGGGATCATGTTGATTGCTTTGGCAACGAAATCAAGAAGACAACCAGGGAAATCTCTGTTGTTCCACGATAAAGTTGGTGATAACGACGGAATACCCAATGCATCAGTTCAATCTCTAAAATTTCAGATCAAGATGTTGGCTTTGAGTTCTGACAAAATATTAACAAAATGAATCTATATAGTCAGAAATAAGTACCCATCACACAAAAAGAAATGAGCATGGATGATTGAAAAATTCCAAGACCCAATACACCATACAAAACAGCCCTGACCACCCCTAGTCACTTTTGATCTGGCCAGGGGAATGGGGCAGGGACGCAGTGGAGTATGTAAACCATCAAAGAAATTGATTTCAGCTGGCAACATCAAAGCCTTCACTAAGTAAAGTTTGTGGATTCGAGTTTGTGTTTTATCATTGAAGTCAAAAACAACCTCATTAGCATCCTCTCAAGTAAAAAATCATACAGGAGACCGATCAGTGAAAGAATTTTGCTTACCTCAAGATCAGTTGCTCCATCTCCAATCATTATTAGAGACTTGTATCCATGGACCTGCAATATGCAATACAGTCAAGATGACCGTTATCCCCAATTAGCACTAATCAAACATTAATGTAGACTGATTAGTATCATTTTCCTGAACCTTTCTTATATGCTGGACAGCCACAGCCTTCCCACCACTCCTAGAAGTAAACTCTGTTATGTCAAACCCAAGGAACTCACCGGAACTCCCAAAAACTAACTGATTGGCAAAGATGTTTTCTCCAGGAATTCCCAGCTGCAACGCAACAGGCTTCACAAAAAAAAATCTGTTAATTTATGAATTCAGAAAGATGTGCTAGGAGGAAATTGAAGAGTTGATTTTTACTTGATAAAAGAAAGCTTAAAATAGATATTTCAATTTCATGTGCTAATGACCAATTGAAATATGTTTAATTTCATGGCACTCTGATTTACTCTTCATGGGAAAAAGGAAAATTTCTATAGGATATAAAAACTTTCCATAAATCACACAATAGAAATGATTGATTTTACATTACGCTGAATATTTGTCTTTAATCTGGAATATGTAGTTAAAGATAAAGCATTTACCTTTTAATGTTATAAAAGTAAGTGGAAATAAAGACTAGCTTGTTCGCATAACTTGGTAAATATCTAAATAATTATATTTGAGAGTGGTGCGAGCTAAATACTAAGGAATGAAAAAACTCACACGGCTCTGAGATGAATTTTGTATATTGGAACCTTTAATTGTTTGAGACCTGGAAGTTTGGTGCTCTGATAAGCCCTGGAAGTTCAGAATGATTTGGGCTTAATTGCGAAGGATGGTGCAACTACACTCATTATTAGCTTTGCTGGCTTGTAAGAGCACCAAAGATAAGGATGAACTAGTTTTTTTTTTTTTAAGTGGAATAAAATATTTGAAAATAAATTCGAGTAAAGCTTAAAATAGTCTCCCGACTATTGATAAATATTCATTTTAGTCCCAGAGTTTCGCATTGCCCCATTTAGTCCCTCGAATATTAGAAATTGAACCAATTTAGTTCTAGAGCCCAAAATCAGAGTAAAAGTTAACTCCAAAACTAAATATGAAAGCTATTTTAGGTATTACGAGTGAATATGAGATTACATTGCTCTATTTTATCATTTAATAAATTATAGTATATAGTTAATCTAGTACATAAGGGTGAATAAATAGTAAAAAAATTTATATATTTTTAAAAATAAAATCTAGCATTGCTTTTTTTACCATATTTTAATATAAATAAATTTTCTTTTAATAATTTTATAGATTATATAAAATCTATTATATAATCAATAAAATTATTAAATATGGTAAACAAGATCAATGTTAGATTTTGCATTAAAAATATAAATTTTGTTCACTATTTATTCATCCTTATTATGTATTAGATTAATCATATACTATAATTTATTAAATGATAAAATATAGCAATGTAAATAATATATCTCATATTCACTTATAATATCTAAAATACCCTTCATATTTAATTTTGGAGTTAACTTTAACTCTTATTTTAGGTTCTAGGACTAAATTGTCTCAATTTCTAATAGTTGAGAGACTAAAATGGGGCAATGCAATAGTCTGGGGACTATTTTGAGCTTTTACTCAAATAAATTCATATCAAATGTTGGTAAGAACAAATGAAAATTTTAAATAACAAAATACAACCTCCGTTACAAGATGAGGAAAAAAGCATAATTTAGTGTGGATTTACAGTGATTCAACTCTCCCATGAGCCAACATCCATTTCCTAGACTACTCACTAGGAATCCATAATTGACACGTATTTGTGGTTCAAGATGGACCAAATCCAATCCATTTAAAGGCCTACAACAAACTACTTTCCACCAACTCAAGTGAGGACTTCCTTGAACTTGAAGAGTATGCAAGAGAGAGTTCATGAAGACTAAACTATTTTTATAAATGTTGGACTAGTGAGATATAGGGCAATTGTAAAACTTTGGGTTGTTTCAACACAAGTTGTATTAGTCTAGCAATAAATACACCAAAAGGAATATCCAGTACATTTCTTGCAACATTTATTAGAAGATAAGAAACTTCAAGACAACATAAACAAAAAATTGTAACTTCTCAAAATTTAAAGAAGACAAACCTAATAAGCTTGCTAAACAATTCAGATTTGAGCTTGGACTGAATTCTTGATCAGTTTTGACAAGCTGATTCAATGCCTAAACATGCCCAACCAAATTGATACGGGAAGCCTGAAGGTTTCAATCAGTTTGACTGATCAAGTTCAGCATCGACTTAATTGCCCAAGACCTTGGTTCAAAATAAACTCAACAATCAATCACTCATCATATTGAAATTGATGTAGGTCATCACCTCAAACGTTTTCATCACTGCTATTGCGTCTAGACTATTGTGTACCTGGTACCTTTTCTAATTTGAGTTAATGTATTTTGACCATTGTATTGTGAGATTGAATGTTTTTTAGATCAAATCAGCACCCAAAAGAGCCACCAGAACGAAATCAACACCAAACAACAAAAAACAGCCACCAAAATCAAGAAAAAACAACAATGGCATGCAGGAATAACACAAATAAAGCTGAAATAACAATCTTCAATCAAAGAAACACAAGATATAATTGATTCACCATTTGAGAAGTGAATTGGCTCTCCTCCAATTTCCTAGAAGCAACTAGGAACCCAAAATCATCTAAGAAAAACTACATCAAAAAATTCTTCACATAACCCCTCCCACATACAAACTTTTCCCTTAAAATCAGCCATAATCCAACCATAAATGCACCTCACATTTCCTCCAATGATCTCCCCTTAAACTTTTCCCACCACAATTGCACCTCACATTTCCTCCAATGATCTCCCCTTAAACTTTTTCCTACTATAGATCTAAAATGAGGAGTTGGAACCCACAAAACAAGAGCCTTTTGGCTCTTGAAATGAGGCGGGGTCCACAACCGTATCAATACTCCCCTCCCAAAAAATCATCTTATCCTCAAGGTGGAAAGAAAGAAACTGCCTCTAGATAGTGATGTAGGCTTTCCATGTCATTTAATATTCTGGTAAATTCTTCAGCTTGATCAACACTTCCTTGGTCATCTTGTCTCCTTGGTGCACCTCCAGTGGTTCAAATATTACCTCCATGGCTCCATATCTTCTAAAAATGTAGCCGGTAGTGCAGGCAATAGTGTAGGATCTCCAATGGCTCGTCTCAGCTGCAATAAGGGAAAATAAGATAATCCTTGAAGATTGATTCCTTCCTTAGGTTTCATGAACACGTTCATCTATATTGCAAAGAGTATGCGCCATCATGATGTCATACCTTACAATATTTAAGAGAAGAAATACTCCTCACTAACCTAAGTAGTTATCAAAATTAACCAAGACTTCAACACGCTAGGCCAGATTATTATCATTATCTTTATAATTCTAGAGCCATTATGGATTTGTTGCTAAATTCAGAGCTTATCTCAACATAAACAGCATTGTGGTCCTATTGGAGCACTATGAGCAGAGTAAACTCAGCATGAGATAAATTCTAAATAGAAAATAGAAACCAAACAAAATAAACCCCAATAAAGGGACCACATTATTTCAGCTCCAAATCATAAACTCAACAACATTACAAAGAATTAGGGGTGTACTCGACTCGAGCATCCGCCTAATCGAGCTAAGTTTGTTTATTTCTTATTGAGCTCGAGTTTGACTCGATTGTTGAGCTCAATTTTTTAGTTTTAAATTAAAATTTTCAATTTTTTTTTTTGAGATTTTTTATTTTTAATATAACATTAATTTTAAAATGTTAAATATATTATATATTTATATAATGATAATTTAAATTAATTTTTAAATGTATTCAAGTTAATCAAGCGGCTCAACGAGCTTACGAGTTGAGCCAAGTTGAGCTCGAGCTCAAGCTCGTTTAATATACGAGCTTGAGTATAGGCTCGAGCTCAAATACATAACTTGACAAACTCAACTCGTGAGCTTATTAATGAGTCGAGCTCAAGCCGGCAAGTGATCCAGCTCGGTTCACTTACACCCTTACATAGAATCCTCTAGTCAATAATACAAGTTCTATGTAGTCTCTGTGACAATGTCTCCATGTCATGGTCCAGGTAGCAATTAAGATAGATGCCTATAGAACAATCAATATGAGAGTTGAACAGTGTACTTTGATCATTTGACGAAAACCTCCGGATATCAAATAAACATCAGTGTTTGAAGCTTTCAGCTTGTTGATCAATTCAGCAATGCCAGGCGATAACCTGTAGATTAGAGTGACTATTAGTGCATCTCACAACTGTAGAAAGATGATTTGAAACATATCTTCAAACCTTGAGTGTATAGGAGTGGCACATATATGCTTATTTTCCATAGAAACATACATTTATCTTATGCATGCATAGGACTGGCATACGTGGTGTGTAAAATAGATGGTAATAATGTAATATCATGCATTTAAAATTTCGATAGCCATTATAAAGTATTTCATGTTTACCCCATCTTTGAATGCTGTAATGGGAGAATAGACTATATGATCCGTATCAACATCCAATAAACCAGGAATAGCATAAAAGGAGTTAAGACTAAAATCATTGTGGACATTTATTGAAAGACATTCCATTCTTGAAAAATAAAAGCAAACATTTATATCGTAATGCCAAAACCGGAGATAAGCATCAATACCGTGGAGGCCTTTTCTCGAGAAAATCCTGGAGTTGCGAAAGAGAAGGGCTAAATAAAGATAATCTGGCTGCAAGAGCCTCCTCAAAAGGAACAGATCCACTCATTGCCCTAAAGAAGACCATAGTAGAGCAATCAAAACATCTGAATTCAAGTCTTCGCAGCAAAAGACAATGAGGAGGGGTTTAACTTGTTAGTCCACTCCGAAACAGCTTTCCCGGCACCACAAAAATCAGCAAGTTCATCGATTCCCTCGTGCAAGCAAACAGTACTATCAACATCAAAGCAAACCGCATCAGCATTTCGCCAGATCTCCAGCACCTCTACCACAAACAAGGGCATGGTAACAAAGAAACAAGAAAAAGCATTTAATTTTGGTTTTTTCACTTAAAAAAACCTAAATGCAAAAAATCATTCCTACAAATTACCATTAGAAGGTTTAGTGCTAAAGAAGTGGCTTGCAGACTTGGAGCACTGAGGCTGTAGTGTGGTTGCCATTATGGTGACAGATATATAGGATCTTCCTGCTCCATAAGAGAGCCTGAATAAATTTTCTGGTAAATTCTTAAGGAACAATTGAGGGACTTGCAAGGCACGGAGATCTCTGGAAAAACGAGTAGGATGCATGGATAAACTAAAAACCCTAGCCATCAACTGCGATAACCTGCAATCAAATCAGATTAAGCTTTGGCGCGCATGATTTATATAATAAATTTTTGAACTGTCAAAATTGTTTCATTCAAGAAAAAGAACGAAAAAAAATTTCGTTTGGAACTGGAGACAAATGTCTCTAACATAGACATCAATCTATGATCTATCATTTTTCCTGTGTAATCTCAAATGATAACCTGCGGCTTCTTCCATGAATTAGCTAATTGTGCTCTTATTCCTTAAATCAATGACAGATCAAAAGCAAAAATAACTACGTGAATTGAAAACGATCTGAAGACGAGGTAACAAACTAAGCAATCTGAAAAAATAAAACTGAAATAATAACATGAATATTCAATTGAGAGAGAATGATCCGGATATCAGATCCGAGCATACCTTTGTGATAGAAAGAGGGATCTGGAGAAGAGAAATCGAGTGACAATTTCCCCGTCTCCTCTCCCACGTCTTAGGTGACTGGAGACAGAGAGAGTTCAGCTGTTTTAATTAATTAATTAATTAAACTTGGGAGGGATTTAGGCTTCGTTTGTGAAATTAAACAAATTATATGTACAAGTTTATGAGATATGTTTAATATTATGTAAATGAATTGATACGAATGAATGTTTGATTTATGAACTAAATAATGCATAATTATTCTCGCTAATATTAGTAAGAACATATTTATAGACAAAAAAATTAATTTAGAAGTGATACCACACACACATATACATAGTGTGTAATTAAAGTAAATAAGCAAATGAGTGGGTTAATAGTTATTAAGCACAAGTATAAATGAAGTATTATGAGAGCAATTATGAAGAAAATATATCCATCTGCTTAATAATTTTTTTTTTTTATTCATTTTACATATAATTTAGAACATACTCATCGTATAATAGTGCATTCAACATTTGATTTTAAGCATTTTTTTTATGACCCTTATATTTATGTGTAGAAAATAGTTTTCACATCTAATTTGTCATTCTAAATAATTAACTATATTAAAACTATATTTTTCTATTTGTGAATCATCTTCACTAACATAATTTAACATTTTATAACTATTTTTCAAAAAAAAAAAATTGAAGCACCCAATTTCAATATTTACGACAATTACATATGAGAAGTTAATTTTTTGGAAAGTGCATATATCTATTTGTAATAGGAAGAGAAGGAAAGAAAGTGAGATGGGAGAGAACTCCAGGATTTGGAATACGAATGTGACAATTTTGGTATCATGCGTCTTTGAATTTCAATCCATATCCATTTGTCCTCTAAATAAATTATGAAAGTTTTCTGATTTAATTTTGAGCCAGATTTTGCCATACAATGGTTGAGCTCAACTTTACTTGCTAAATTCAGGTCAAATTCACACAAATTTTGATTTTATCAATTTTATGAAGAAAAATTTCTTTAGTGGGTATCACTTAATATAGTTTATGAAGAAATTTTTTGAAGTTATTAAAGTTTTGGGGTCAAATTATGCTTAAAATAATTTGCTTCTTGGAGTTGCAATATTTTGAGACTTGTGACATCTGTATTCATAGTGGTCCTCAGTTTTTATTATAGCTGCTTTCGCTAATAAATAATGCGGGCTTTTCTATTATTGTAAAAAGCAAACCTGAATTTTTCTTCATAAAATTAAGAGAATATATGAAAGGAATAAATATTTAGTGGTACTATTTAACATTTAAATCAATTAAAATAAATCCATATTCACATCACATACTCAAAAACCCAAAACCCATTAATTATTAATAAACAAAGCTCATTGAAATATAAACTAGAAAGTGATATTGCTTCCAAATCCCGGCAGATCCAAAACATTTACTGATAGTCTAAACCCTAAATCCACGTTCGAAAGGTAGAAAGAAAACACTTTAGCCAAAGGAGAAATAGGAAAAAAACAAAAACGAGAAGCTAAAATTGATCAAATAACACAGAACAATTCAAACTACAAATACATCCAAAATCAACAACGAATCCCTTTAACTTTCGCTGTTGTCTTTGCCTATCTTTTAGCTAATCTGAGTCTGATTCATTCTTTATCTGTGCTTTAATGAAATAAATTAATATCATAGCTTGTCTTCATCCACAAAGCTACAGTCATCGTGATAAGCTCGTTAGTGAATAAATGCTGAGTATGAGAAGGCCACAAGGTTATGCTAATTAAGCTACAAAAAAATATTTTTAGACAAGTTTCAAAGATCTGTAATAGTAAAATCCTCCCTCTTTAATAATTAACATTAGTAAGATCACAACAACATGATAGTCTCGGGGCGAAATCCTAAGCCCATTATCTATCTTAACCAAAAAAGTCAAGCTCTGAACAAAACCAACACAGAGAGGATGAGATTAAGAAGAGAACCAAAATCTGCTATTGGAATCAATCTGCGGCTGTTATTATCAGTAGATATAACATTTCCAGAAGGGCCTAGCCCGCCCATTACTCCTCCAGTTCCAGAACTTGTTGTTGGGGTCGTTGTGCTTGGAGTAGTCGAAACTGGGTTGGTGCCAACAGGTGTTGGAAAGGCTCCATTGCCGGCACCGGCTCCGGCGCCAGAACCGGTAACTGGGCTTGTACCATTGCCTGTTCCCATTCCAGCTCCATTGTTGTTGCCAGTGCTTGTGCCAGCAGCACTGGATCGAGGACACAAAAATGAGAGAATATAAGGTAGAGTGTTGTGATTCCAATTTAGATAATTGTTTAAATGAAATGAGTAGAAATGTTGTTTCTATAACTTAGTTTCATATCATAATGGAGAACAAGATATCTAAGGGGAAGGGGCTGTTTGATTGCCAAAATTTAAGCTAAGTTTTGTAAAATGATTTAACATCTCCCAAGATGTAGACATTACCAAAATTTTCCTACATAAAATTTATGTTTTGGCACCAAGTATTTCCAACAAGAAAAATTAAAAGACTGCAAAATTACCTGGATGCTGCAGGGTAAGTGCAGCCATTTGAACCTGCAAACAAAACAAAAAAGAGAAACACAGAAAAAGAGGGTAATTTTTCCTCTTCCTTTCATTTATGTATTTTTTTTGTTCTTTCTTGAGAAGAAGTAATTATTAGTAAAGGGGAAATTGAGAAGACTAACTTGGATCTTGTTGAGTGAGAGCAGCAGTGCCTGCAAAGCCACAAGCCTGTGGATTTTGCCCTTTTCTCTGATAATAGCTATTGACAGCATAAGAACAGTGAAATTTCACAGTATTGGGATTATAACAAACTCCATTCTGGTTTATAGGGCTGCAGTCAGCACCAGCTCCACATGCATAGTCTATTGTTTTCTGCAAGGTTGAATCGCTCATATCTTGCCTGCATACACACCATGCACCATCTTCCACCAAAGACAAATGAAAATCTTTTTAGCTCAGAAAATAAAATCAAACAAATAACAGAAAGTATTACAAATAAGCTTTTTTTTTTTGGGGGGGTAGAGATCAAAGTATTCCAGAGCATTTTTGCAGATCTTGAAAGTTTTGAAGGCAAAGAGTGAAGAAATGAAGGCATGGGAAAAACATAAAAACAGGATTTGTAAGATCCATAGGCTTTGAAAAGAAGAGACTGAAAAAAGCTGAAATAAATAAGCTGACCTGAACCCCCAGTCATGGTAAACACTAACACTACGAATAACAGTAGAGCTTCCATTACTGAACTTGTCATGGTGAAAAAAGGCTGTATTATGTTTATATATATCAGGGAAAGGGTGCACTCTCTGACTTTCTGAACAAAGAACTTCAATTCCGCAGTAGTTGTTGTGGGCTTGAGGCCTGTTCTTCTACAGAAGTCTGCTTGTTACCTTTTCTCTTACAGCTCTCTCTCTCTCTTTCTCTCTAGTTGAGTCAGTATGATGCATGAGCATACTTTCTTGATTAGAGGAGCTCCATTTTATCAAGTACAATAACTCAAATTAATAATGAAAGAAATACTTTTCTCTAGTAAGTAATCAATATGTTAATATTAATAATTAATGGAATTTGGCACTGCATGCCCGCATTCATTACAAAAATACAATAATTGATATTGATGTAAATAATATTTATATTAAAGTTCATTCCTTTGGGCTTTGATCAGTGGAGTAGGCCCCAAAAACGGTCGTCTTCTTCTTTTGCTTTTATTTATTTCGGTGCATGTGCAGCTTAGCCGACATAGTTTTTTGCTGCCTTTATCTTCTTAATTATTATTATTTCGGTGAATTACAAAATCAGAGAGAGAGAGAGAGAGAATATTTATTTTTGAAGTCCCTTAATTTTCTCAACAGAATTTTTTTCTTATGTCGGTTCGTTAGGCAATTTTATTGAGTCACGACTTCTTTATTTATTAATCCAACTTTTTTATCATAAAAAAAATATTTATATTTTTTTATTAAACAAAATTATAACTCCATTCATTATTCACTCACACTTCGAAAGTCTGAATCAAACTTTACAACATTATTGATACTGATCTATGTAAAAGTATAAATTTAATGTAAATTATATTTAGTCACAATGTCAAAAAAATTTCAATTTTTTATCAATTGAGCTTCATTATTTATTTTTGATTGGTTTTCCAATACCTTTTTTTATTTAATTTTTATTTTATCATATGATTGAAATTAAAATATTTTTTTCCTTCTTAAGTAGTAATAATGTTAAAATTTTCAAAAGAATTAATTTCAAGAAAAATTGAGGAGTGGCAATAAGAGCATTTCTCCAAAAAATATTAACACTACGATACAAATATCAATTCACTTTGGAGGTCTGTTGTTTCTATTTTTTATTGTTATAAGACTACAGCTAGAGGGAGTGAAGATAAACTTTAATTATGGAGATCAATTTTAGAGTCTAAAGGTATAGTTTAAGTAGATCTAAAACTAATATAAGGCCAATAAAAATATGATGAAGCTGCATGACTGCATGGAGTGAAGCCACCAACACATTCTCAATCTTAAGTTTCATGATTCTACAGTAGATGAAGGATGTGTACGATCAAATTACTTTCATTTTTCTACATATCTGACGGATGAGAAAGAACATCATATTGAGATAACTTTTCTTTATGACATTCATGTGACTTGCGGAGCTCTTGATGCATATAACTACTAAAGTTTGAGAATGATTGGTAAATAAAATAATTGAGAATATGACGCATCATTTTATTTATGTTGTTTCCCCGATTTGGATTTATATCAAAGTTCACTACAAAAATGGCAAAAAACTTCTGTTGGATCATCCTTATAGTACAAAATACAACTGTTCATATAACATTCAATTTTTATAATAGTCAGTCCCAACTTTAATACTAACTTTTTTTGTCTTATTCAAATCTATATATGAGAATTAAATTGTCCTGAAGATTTATTTCCTTAAGCAGATCGATGAACTCATTAAAGCACTCTTAAGGAATGCCGTATTCAATTTTAATATTAAGCATCCTAATAGTAAATGATAACTCATAATGAACAATATAACTATCTCAAATTGGTTGTTGAGCAGCATGTAGTAATTCCTAGAAATTTTTTTCATTTATATGTTAGGTGACACATCTATATGCCCTCTTAAATTTGGACTTGTTGTATTAAAAAAAAGTTCTGCATATGTTCTATTAATTTGATCATCTTTTACTGTTCTTGAAGTTTTTGAGGGACCATATTGAGTATCTATATGTGCTCATACTCTCCATGTGAGATCCAAAATCAATACATTGGAATAAATCCTTTAAGATATAAATCAAGTTTAAACTAATCTGATTTAAGGTAAGCTTGATTTTTTTATTCTTTGAACATGAACATCTAAACATTCTAACATAAATGAATATAGTTGATATGTCATGTGAATAAATATTCAACTTCCTTAATAAATTCATCTGTCAGTGATTTCCATCCCGGTAATATTTTATTATACATCCTACACCTCTCATCCCGCATATCATATGTAGCTTGAATTAACAATTGATTTAAAAATAAAATAATCGCACAAAATTAATTAAGAGAATACTCTTCTTTTGCTAACATTAATTCATTACATTATTTGTGCAATTTATTAGGCATTAAAAATATGTTTGACTGATTTCATCTAATGATCCTTAAAAACAAAAAAATAATAATAATTTAAATAATTACTAATAAGATCATAATCAAATACTTGCTAACAATCCAGCATTGGTTACTAAATCAAGTATTTCCCATTTTTCTTTCCTTTCTAAAGTAAAATTTGAATTATTCAAATCATCAGAGCTATTTTTTAAGAGTGAAAAAAACCTAAAATTATTCTCTCGTAATTTCTCATAATCAAAAGCAAATTATAGAGCCTCTCTCTTATAAAAAAAACTTTGTGCTCTCTTCTCTTTTTTATGCCAAAAATCTATAAAACTTCTTGCAAAAATTGTGTATCATGTCAAAAGATTTCTTCCATGCTTACGGAAATTTATTTTGCTTTATGTTCCATCTTTTATATAAGTGAAATACTTGATTTACGTTGCTAACAAAATATTAACGAAATGGTACAACTTTTCTCTGGATTAAAATGCATTTTTAATAAAATCTAACATTTCAAATCATATAAATTTAAAATGAGCAAAGAGGATAAGTTTTGTCTCAAATCTCAAAGATATGGAAGAGAACAAGCTACAAACCACTACTTAGAACGAAGATGAGCGACAAAGAGGCCGAGATGTTTTGTTATGGGAGAAAAAAAATGTAAAATGAGAGGGGAGGATGGTTCGGGACTAAATTAAGCTCATACAGGTGGATTTTTCCAGCCTGAAAAATCCTCTAGAAAATAATTTTTAAGAAAAAAAAAATTCGTTAGAAAATAAGTCATGCTAACTCTATTGGAAAATCCACCGAAAATCCCCATGATAAAAATTCAAGGAGAAGCATAAGATTAAATTAAGTGCTGTAGATATGAGGATTTTCAAACGGATGAGTGGTTTTACTCTTAGAGACGGGATATAAAACGAGCATATACATGAAAAGGTTCGAGTAGCTCCTGTTGCATATAAGACTAGAGAGAGTCGTCTTTGATGGGTTGGTCACATAAAAATGGCAATCTTTCAATGACTCTATTAAGAGAGTAAAGATATATTAGATTTGATTTATATTAAGAAAGGTAGAAATAAACCTAAAAAATTAGTTAATTATAAAACATTAAAAATGATCTATTAGATTTAAATGAGATTTTAACTTTTAAAAAGAAAAGAGAGAAAAAGAGAGAAAAAAGCATTAATGTAGGGAATGCCATGTATTGGAATAAAGATTTGATATTTTTGTTGGGGTGGTGGTGGTATATGTAATCTAATGAGATGGCAGACCGTCAATCTGAAATTAGCACTCAGTTTAATTCTATTCAGCTCCAGTTTTTTAGGCACTAATCCAAATACTTTCAGACCATATCTTTTTATTCGGTCTCACGATCAAATAAATTTGTGAGATTAAAATTATTCTAAATTTAGTGTCGAAGAATGGTTGTGTTTATCTGTAACGTCATCAAAGATAATTTAAACCCTAAAAAATTAAAGTTAAATTAAAAGCTCATATGATTTGCTGTACTTCGAAAACATATTTACATCAAAGATATTTTGAATTTCTAAAATAAAAATTTCACAAACATTTAGATTTCAATTAAAGCGAATTTCAGATTGCCCGATTATTAAAATCGAGAACTGAGCATAATTGGGTTTCCTAAAGCTGATTGTGGTAAGATTAAAGAAAAGGAAGCAGTAGCAAAATATGGAAAAGCTATTCCAAAAGCAGAGAGAGCACAGACCATTCATTTTACTAGCTTTGAAATATGTCAAAAGCATACAGCACAGAATCCACCATTTACGGAGAAAGAAAACATAGTGGCATATGGAACATCGTAGATAGATAGTGGAATGAGATCAATAACACCTTTAGCCTTTAGTAAATATAGAGTTCCTTAGACTAAATGGAAAATAACAAAAGCATGTCCAACTAATATGCTTGCAGAAAAATATGTATCTTTTTTTTTTTACTTATTTTTTCATTACAAAATATTGTACAGATCTATGAGATCGGCGGAGCTGTGTGCACTTAAGCGTGAAGAGATGAGCGCCAATCAGGTTATAGTTAGATTTATACAAACTTCTTCTACCGTTGCAGTAAATTACAGCAAGCCATTGTACGTAAGAAGGAGCCTACTCCCAGTCAGCATCGAAGAAACCAGCGTCTTTCATCTCCGAGTAGTAAACATTCTCCAACCTCAAATCTTCCTCCTGCAGATGAGAAGATTAATTAATATAAAACTTTTCAAGAGATAATGTATGGATGACAAGAATATATAATAACCTGGAAAAAATCTGCAAGGAATGTCATATAGAGCAGAGGAAGATAAAATGAATGGTAGCAGATAGTTGTCAGACCATGCAACCTGTACCGAATAAAGATGGTTAAGGTTTTGAGCGCACTTTAAAAAAAAATCTACTTTATTCGGAAAATAAATTTAAAATTAAATACTAGTACCAGAACCCAAACCCTACTCCATTTTCCATCATCACACAGGAGAAGAGCGATATTGTATTAATCAAGAACATGACCCAGATGTAGTTGTAGAAAGCTGGCCGAGCTGTGCAAAGGTAATTAAAAGGGGGGTTCATAAAATGAGTTGACGAAGAAAGCTAAACATTAAAAAAAAGTATGCATGTAGATGAGAAGTTACCAGGTAGTCTCTCTCTCCATTTAGAATGGTGCATGAATAAAATCAAGCCATAAATGGCAGTGAGCAATAGCTTATGCACAATCCACAAGCCCCATTTCACTCTATTTGATTGATCGCCACCATCAATGAACAAGGGCACTCCAAAACCAAATAAATAGATAGCCTGAAGAGCAGTTGACATACAAAATAAACTTCTTTATCCGCAAACATGAAGATAAAGAAACCAGTGAACCGGTCCTCTTAGCTTAAAAATCTACTATTGTTTAATTAACCACGGAGCAAACAAGACAACTTCTAAGAAAATGAGTAGGGTTAGTTAACAAATTGTAACAGCAGTGGAATTAATCATAAGTGCCTTTCAGAGTTCAACTATAACTAAACCAAATACTTTAATTTATCAAGCTGAAAATAAATACTAAGGTTAAGGTAATGACGCTGACAGTTTTAAAAGAGCTTCGCCCCCAATACCCCGGCCCAACAAAAGAACTCTCTGGGAGCGAGCATTATTTAAATCTTCATCTTTTCCTGTACAAAGATTCATCAAGCAAGCAAGCAAGCTTCAAGGACGAAAGCCAATTTGCATTCTCCATGCATGACCATGGACTTCCAAATATTTGTTGGCCCTTTTAGTTAGCAATCTTTTGGATTGCAAAAATTGGTACATAAACATTATGTGGAGTTCAAAAAAATTGTTAATTAAAACCAGAGGAGCATCATATGGAAGATGGCATTAAAGAAAATCAATACTAATCAAGAAATGCAATAAACTCCGGACCCCACTGCCAAACACACATGAAACACCGAAATAGAAGGGAGGTAGTTCTTGCTGGAGAAAAAGCACCAGAAACAATATACAATGACAACTAACAAGTGGCAGAATATCTCGATGAATAATTTACCATTTTCTGTCATTTTATTTGAAGACCTCTTAATCATATAAAATAGTTGCTGGTCGCAGGTTTTCACCAGATACAGTTCAATGGGAACATGACAATATGTATGAATTTAGTGTTCAATGGGCTGTATAACCGCAATGATGCCGGACATGGTGTATCCCAATGGGCTGTAAGAAAATTCATTGATAAGTTGATGGGGACATCAGATCATCATGGAAAGTTTATCAGAGACGTGGCCGCCGATCTACGGCCACGATCGAGTCTTTATATGTCTGAGTCATTGGTGTATTTTATTATTCATGTATTTTGTTATTTGCTTAGGTGTGTTTTATTATTTCCCGTTGTACCCCTCTTATGGAAGTTGTCGTATGTAAGCCAAAAAGGCATTTGTGTCTTTTGTTTTGAGTCATTTGTATGAGGCTATTTAAAGCCCCACTTTATTCTATTTTGATTAATGAATGATTATTATGAAATTTTCCTGCACTTGTATTTAAGAGCATTGAGAGTTCTTGGAGAGAACTTTGGAGAGATCCCTAGGCGAGGGAGATTGGCGCAATACCCACCAACCTAGATAAGTCGGGTTCATGGTTCCTTCTCATATCTCTTTTCTTTTCTTTCTCCTTCTCTTTCCCTCCACCCACCTAGCCGCCGGTTTTCTCCATCTCACCCGACTCATCCTCCCCTTCCAAACCCCACGGCCCAAGCTTTTCCTGAGCCCCCTTGCCGCCGGCCCCATCCCCTTTGTTTCTTCTTATTTGGTTTCCTAATTTGGGATGGGTCTAATTGGGATAAATTTGAAATTCAAATTCATTCAAATTTGAAATTCAAATTCATTCAAATTTGAATTCAAAATATTTCCTAAATTAGCTATTCTATTTTAGGAAAGTGTTTGATTTAAATCTAATTTCGAATTTTAAATTCTTGAGGATTTAAATTAATTATTTCCTAAATCTAAAGCCTAAATTAGGAATTCTTAATTGCTCTCTCAAATTACTCCCCCCCTTGCCCATGCATGCCGCCGGCCCCCCTTTACCCTCATTAAATCCTTTTTCAAATTATTTCCTAAAAGCAAGTCTAGCTTTAGGAAATAATTCAAAATCCCTCCAATCCATCATGCCTGAAATTTCCCTTGCCTTATTCTACTAATTGATTTCCTAATCTAAGGAGATTAATTGAGGAATTCAAATCCCTTCCCTATCTTCAACCCGCCGCCCCCTCTCCCTAGTCGCCTCCCTCTCTCCAATCCTCTCTCCTTCTTTGTTATCTCAATTGATTTGGGGCCTTAATTCTCTCCTTCCAATCCCTTAATCCCATTCATAAAATCTGGAAATTCCTCTCAGATTTTGGGATCAAAATCTGAAATTACTTCCAGGTTTCTTGGGGAAAAGGTTTGGAGTTTGTTTTCTTTTCAAAGTGCAAGAGAAACTCCTTTTTCTTTGCCATTAATCAAGAGGCCTCCCAAGTACCTAGAAGATTCTACACTCAAGCATCCATGAATGGCGGATCCGGACACTGATTACGGCTTAACTTGGGATGAAGACGGCTACGTAGATATCCTACAATCTACATTCTTCGACGTGAACCCAAAAATTGATTTCACCGTCGAGGATTACTTGGAGCGTACATTGATATACTTGGTAGAGGCTATCGACGAACATTTTGAAGGCCTTGAATGGAGGATCTCCACTAACCCTTGACGAAGGTTTCTTCTCTCCCGAGCGTCTTATTCCTTTTAGTCTAAATTCTTGTTGGTTTGATTGCAGTCACAACGGACTCTTCCAATTGCTCTCGCTTAAGCTTAGTAATTGCAGGATTTGAGTGTGCCTCATTGCATCCTAATTCTTATTGTTAGATTAGAGATTATCTTGAAAACTACTACTTTGTGTTGTATTATTTTCTTATTTGTCTTGAAAGCTTCAAAACGCGTAGCATGTGATTTAGCTTAAGCAGATGACTCCTTACTTGTTTTGATTCTTCGTTTTAGATTGCTATTAATTTTATTCTAGTATTATTCTAATCATGAGTTGTGCAATATCTAAATGAGTTCATAATCATGTCATCTACGTAGTCCTGCATCATAAGTTCTGTGGAAGAAATGAGAATTTTATGATGGATGTGTGACAATATTAGAAATTATAAAGTAAAGAATGATTTTATTAAAAGAAATATTATAGTGAAATCTATTGAAGATAAGATGATTGAAAATAGATTTAGATGGTGAGGACATATATAACAAAGAGCAAAAAATACAATCATTAGAATAGTTGATAAAATTAGTATCATTGAATTATAAAGAAAAAATGATACCAAAGATCAGGGCGAAGCCAATTTTTGTATTTTGAATGGGGGCATTAGTACAAGCTATTAAATTATTATCTAAAAATATTATTTTTTAGTGTAATCATAAATCATAAGATAATATTTTTAAAAAATTATAAAAAATACATTCAAAATTATAGTTGTTCCCGTTAAAAATGTTTTACAAAGAATATTTTAACACCTCAAGCATCGTCAATATAAACAAATAAAAAATGAGATACATAAAGTCAACCCAAAATAATTGAGATAAGGCTAAAGAGGATAACCATGAAGATAAAAATGACCGTCGACAATAAAGACTACTAAAAAGATCAACTTTAAGTTAATTAAATCCACACAAAAAAGATTTCCAGAAACTTGTATGTATCTGCACTATATCAAAACAAGTGAGCGCTAGGCATCATGCGACCCACTTTAGTCATTAAAGCCAACTGTAATGGCAGAATCCATATGTCTCTACTATATATCAAAACAAACCAAAACATAGCAATATGCAACCCACTTCAGGAATTAAAGAGAACCACAATGCTAGATTTGCCCAGTTCACCGTACGACGAAAGTGGAGCAACAATTAAAGCCATAACTAACATGCTAGATCAGTACACGGTAAAAAAAGTAATTAATAAACCATGCAGGAAAATGAGAAGGACGTGCAATTGACTTTTATATTTGGGTATAAGTCCTATCTTTATTTCATATAGTTAGATGTCATCTTCACCCAAATATTCCTTTGAGCTTCAAAAGAAAAAATGTTTGCCTGTAACTAAAGAGGATTTTGACATTTAAAAAAACTCAAAGCAAGAATGACCTAGATGATGTCAGGGCTAACTCGCACGGTTGTACAGGGTTCACGTTGACGACCATAAGAGAAAAAATTTAGGGAATATTTCAAAATATGACAAGTCTCATTTCTCTAGAATCCTTAACCTAAGATTGTGGTGACATTAAATGAGGTCTACATGCCTACCTGACAAACATCAATCTAACAAAGTCTATTCTTTCAAAACACCAATCAACCCAAATTTCTCCTTGGAGAAGTCCAGTCAATCCAATGAAAGCCAAACTTCATAAAAGCATGTGATAAACAAGCCAATGCAATTCAGAAAAGAGAAAGTGGACCGCCGCTAATGGGTCACCACAAACCCATAAAGGATCTTCGTAAAGTGGCAGAGTGCATGCCAGATTTCAACTAGGTTTACATATCACTACTAAGCATCAACACATTAACTACTTTACGATTTACCACTAACCTGTGCATAGATTAGTTTTAATCCAATTTTAGACTGCTTCAAACTTGCCCAAAACTCAATTTTGACTCATTTAGAAAGCCTCGCATTGCCAACTCAAGCTTCGAAAATGTGAAGTGCCCAAATCCTTTACATATACTAGCTCTTCTCCACCCTGCAAAACAAACACTTCCACCCCCACTTTGATGAGGCCCAAGCAAAATGTTGTTTTTACAATACGTTAAAGGCAAATTCGCACAAGAAGAAGCCAGACTGTGTGCTCTTCTCCACCCTGTAAAACAAACACTTCCAACCCCACTTTGACAAGGCCCGAGAAAAATGTTGTCACACGAATACCTTAAAAGCAAATTCGCACAAGGAGGTCAACTGTGTGCTCTCATACCCCCCACCCGCAGCCCAACTCTACCACTATCTCTATTGCATTTACCTTTCAAGGTTTATGTGAAGCATTTTCATGATCGAACTAAGTGCCAAAGAGCCTAGATCTACCATGGCCATGAAGGCATGGTTATCAACATGGAGGCGCCATCCATAAGGTAAGTGATTCAAAGTTTCGACAGAAAGTTCACCAATGCCAAACAACCTGATAAAGCACAGATAGTTCAAACGCATAGCACAATTATCTATGTGCAGAGTATGGCTCCAGATCTTTACGATCCAAACATGACCGACTCTGCTTAGGGAAGACGGTTATCATCACT